AAGTTTTACCTCAATAAAGTACTATTAACATAAAATTCATATAAGATATTTCTTTCATTTTTCCATAGGTTGACCTGTATCATGGCATAGCAGCTGTTCATTTCATGTTTAAAATAATATTTATTCCCTAAAGATAGACACAGGGCAGAGAATATCCTATTACTAGATTTTACTTTGGATTAGAGCAGTATGTGAAAATGCAATGAAGTTGATTGTTGAACCTAGGTAATATAATAAGGCTTTAAAAAGCAAAAATAACATTTGCTCAATTTAGCTGAAAAAACAAACCTCAAATAATGTAATAAAGGTCTCAATTCATAGTTACTTGAACTCTGTAAAAGGGAATTGCTTAAGATTGAGAGGACTAACACTATATTAATAAGAAAAGGAAATTTAGTTTACTCCTTTAAGATTTACGTCCTTGGAAAATTTAAAACTGCCTTTCCCAAGGAGTCTGGATCCATGAATCATTCAGGATCAACAAAATATAAAGTCAATGCAATTTGCCCATTTTTCTCTCGTGAAATCTTGAAGTATGATGTTTTGTGATGTATTCCAAAGAGGTCAATTAACAAAAAAAATGAAGTAGGCTTCGCAGTCGTTTGGAATATAATGTCTCTACTCAATTCCAAGCACACAGGAAAGAGGTGAAAGAAAAGGGAAGCGCAGAAAACTGCTCACTCCTTCATACCACGTCCTGGGCCTAAGAATGTGCCTGGTGTGAGGAGGTGGTCATCACATTTGTGGTGAATGGTCGGGCGGAAGACGTTTCAGTGCTGGGGATCTGGGAAAACAATTGTACCACAGCCTAAAAAGAAAGTTTCGAGGAGGAGATTTTTAATGAAAAGTTTACTTTATTTCTTAAATATGTTGTATTTGGAATACAAATAGACTACCCAGGTAGAAGTGTCATGGAGGAGTGTGGCACTCTGCCTGGGAGAGAGATCAGAACCAGTCACAGGGGATGACTTAGCCTGGCAGCTGGATGGACACCGATAGGAAGAGGTCATTGTGAGGAGAAAGAGGCCGCGCACAGAGCCTTGGGGAATGCCCACCCCCGGGCGGCAGGAGGAGAACCAGTACAATATGGGTCACCACCCTGGAGGAAAACTACTGCAAAACAACAACGACACATAGATAGGCCACCTAAAAATGACTTTCTTATTTATCCTCATTTTGTCTCCAATAAAGGGTAGATGTTTTCCCAAGTCCATTCAGCCCCTGTGCTCAGTAAACATTTGCACCAAAAGGGGAAACCAACTGGATTCCTTCCCAAAATTAGTAGGAAGCCAAAAGGGCAGAAAGTTGAAGGAAAGGGAGAACGGGTCTGTACTACCCCAGCTAGGGAGGCACAGGCCACCCGCCCTGGGTGCCTGGCAGGTGCAGGCGAGCAGGAACCTTCAGTTCCTCAGCAGCTGCCTCTCAGCTGCCCAGAGGAGCTTCTCTGAAGGAGCTTTGAAACAGGCCCAGAAAGAAGCACCCAGCTTACCCCAGAGACTTACTAATGCCCTCATTTGAAAACACAGTGGCGGGCAAATGTAGATTTACAGTTGTTCCTATTGCAAATGCAAAGATTAATCAATTAATAATAACAATACAAAAATAAACTCTGTGTTTCATGTCATCACAACTGTAAACCTACTTTTATCACAAGGGGACCCAGAGGTCAATATAATCTGATTTTCTATTAGGAGGCAGACCCACTGAAGTTATGTAATTTGGTCACGATTACATAATTAGTGTCAGAAATTACCAACTCTATCTCCTCTTTGGGAAATTTGTGTTTTTCAAATATAAAAGCTCATACATTGGTCACCATCCCAAAGTAGAAGGCTATGGGGATTCTTTTTCAGGATTACTTTAATAAAAATATATCTTTTAATTGCATCATTTTATTACCTCCCTCAATTTTCTGTGTTGATTTGACAGACCTAGTGATTCATTGGGATAGAACTAAAATTGTTTTTCTCCACATTCCAAGTTATAGAAACAAGAGAGAATGTTCTCCTTATTTTGATAGTGAGTTGACACTATCATAGTGAGCTGCTCAGACAGAATTATTATTTCTAAAAAAAGAAAAAGAAAATTGTTAAGCTTAGAGGCACAGGACAAATTAACCAGAGTGAAAGAATTTCTTTTCCAAATTCCAGACAGACACAGCTTGACACTTTTGAAAGAGGGGTTATGTGGATTACAATGTTTTTATGTCTTCCTCGTTTCCTCTTTTATCATAATCAACCTCAGCTGTTACATTACTCCAAAGTATAGAATTTTGACAAATTATATTTTCTTTTCAGAGCATGCGAATACAAACAGAATGAGTTTGGTTTTGTTTGCTAGCTTTTTCTTCACACCCATTATGCCAGAGAACGGGAAAACATTGTGAAAGAGGAATAGTAAACACTGAACCCAGGAACGTTACATTCATTCCAGATAATCTTATACATTGAGCTGTTTTTGTATATTGTGTATAGTGTTGTTGATGTCTTCTCTGTTTCACACACTGAAGTGCTATGTTATTCTAACCACAACTTCAGGACAAATTGATAGCACATGCACACACATGGCCAAAATTTTTGACTTACCCAGTGTACTGTGTATTATACAACTGAGACTTTTGGTTTATTTTGACCAAATATAATAGTGGGAGCGATCCTTAAAATAGAACTATTGCTGAACACTAATGAATTTTTTTAAAAGATAAATGTTTGTTGGGGCGCCTTTGGTAGACATTGTCTCAGTTCAAACACTTCTCACTCCGATAAGAGTCAGTGGAAATCAGCAGGGAAAGCTGGTCCAATCTAATGAAAACAGATGTTTCAAACCTACTTACAAACTTAGTAAACTTAATTTTAATTTTTAATGTTTACAAATGTTATAAACATTTTATTTTCTGCTTCCATGTATAAAACACCCTACTAGGCAGTACATATACAATAGAAGACCCAAATCAATAAATTACTAGAAGAAAAAGAATAAAAGTATATAATAATTAATTGCAGTTATAATGTTTACTACGTACTAGTAAAGAAACAAATGCAGCGTGAGTTGTAATATCAAAAAACTGGAAGCCCCAAAATCCAGAAACACTGGAATGAATAAAGTGTCATATATTCATACGATAGACTGCAATGAAACTTTGAAAGTACTGCTATACACAGCACAATAAAAAGCAAAGGAAATCGCAAACACACACGCACAAATTACATGTACATCGTGGATGTCATTCATAAAAGTATAAAATCGGGCAGAAGTTAAAATATGCTGTAGAATCCCTGCCAGTGGTTATCTCCGGGAAGAGCATGGAGGTTAGGACTTGGAAGAGGCACAGGGAGGCTGCTGCAGTGCTGGTGATGGATGTATCGATATCCTCATCTGTGTGGTAGTTACATAAGAGTGTTTGCTCTGAGGAAAGGCACTGAGCTGCATGCTTTTCTGATTTATGACCTTTTCTGCACATATGTCATACTTCATTTAAAAGTTTATTTTATGATAAGACGGCCTAAGTAGACTCCCTCATATCTTTGCCGCTGAATGGAGTTATAAAACCTAAACAAAATGCATAAAGCAGCTACTTAAGGAGTCTGAAAAATAAATAGCAGCAGGAAGATGGAGAAGACCAGTACCATCAAACTGGTAGTGGATTCATCATTATCCCCTTCCGCTAGCTCCCAGCTGAGGGGCTGATTAGAGCTTAATCATCAGCTCCCAGCAAAGCGATTTAAAAGAGCCTACGTACTCCATCGTAATTCTTATTGTATTAGTGCAAACAATCAGGCCAAACTAAATCTGCACTTAATACAGTAAACAAATTGGTCTTAATTTGGCTCTTTCATGAAAATGAGGATGACTTTTTTGGGAGGGGTGGGGGGATTATGTTTTAAAGGACTCTGTAACGGCTGTAAATATTAGACTCTAGTTCGATTAAAAGCTTATTTTTCACTTATGAAGATCTGTGACTCAGCTTGTCTCCACCAGATTACAAGCCCCGTTTATGCTCAGGAGATGCCGCTCTAGACACCATCACCACTTCCTGCGGTGCCCGGGTCTCATCGTCCCTGACAGAGAGCAAAGATACCTTGGCTCTGAAGGAGAACTTAGCCCCTCTTCAGCAGGAACAGCTACAGAACAGACCCGAGCCCTTTTTCTCTGAAAGAATTCAGAACCAGGATCTTTCAGGGGAAGAGAGGCGTAGGCAGTTAGACAGACAAGAGCAAAGCAAAGATGATGGGCCAGGCACAGAAAGCCACCTTGTGCCCAGGGGGACCTGCCCGCCCCCCCCCCCCCCCCCCCCCCAGCAAATCACTGGGCATGCAGTTTGGACACCCTGACTTTCCCTCCCTAGAGATAATGTCGGGGCCTCCGCTGTATTTCAGCTCTGCGCCCAGAAAAACAGCAAACACCGGACACGCAATGCCAGGCGCCAAGGCTGACCTCAGGACCAGCTGCATTGAATAACGACCGTGGAGACCCAGACCCTGAAAGGACACACCAGAACACTGATGAATCTTCTATTGAGATCTTCCACTGGGACTGCCCCTAAAATCTCAATCTTAAAACCCTTAGCACAGGGCACCCAGCTCTCCCTCTTGGAAGTACACCATGGCGTTCCCTCCTCTCCCTCCCCTCCCTATCCTCCTAGGTGTGTCACCTTTACCCTCCTCACTTCTAAGTCCTTCCTTTACTTCTGTAACTTATTTCCTAAGCCCGTTTGTTCCATGAATTACTTCTACCTCTGTGATTTTCCAAATAAATGTTCTTTTATATATAAAAAAAAGTATAGAATTTATAAAAATTCATGGAATTTTTAATGACCAAAAGTAAAGGTCAATTTTATTGCATGATAATTTTAAAAAAGAAAACTAACATAAATAAAAAATAATTTTTATAAGCTTACTTTAAAATGTACGGCGCAAATGTCCCCAACCAAGACTTCAGTATCGAGGTTACATCAAAGATTTGACTACAAATGAAAACCCGCAAAGTAGTGATGTACTCACCACTGCTCGGCCCTCTACAGTTTCCATTACTAGAATCCATAGGAAAATCTGAAAGGTGATAGAATAAAGTAAGAATCATCACATATTCATTATTACTTTAAGAATCCCATGTAATTAAAGGCTAATATGCAAATTGTCCCCTCGGGAGTTCGATCGGAAGACTGGGTAGATGACCCAACTGGTAGGTTAGTTTGCTGCTAGGGTCGGGCTGATCAGGACTGAGCGAGACGGGCCAGACACTCCCTGGAGCCCTTGTGGTCCCTCTCCAGCTGGCCAACCTCCCACGTCCTTCCCCGGCCCCGATCGTGCACAGTGGGGTTCCTCGGCCTGGCCTGCACACTCTCGCAATCCGGGACCCCAGAGGGGATGTGAGAGAGCCAGTTTCAGCCCAATCCTGCAGGCCAGGCTGCCCACTGGTGCACAAATGCACCAGGCTTCTAGCCTATATAAAAGAAGTCTAAGTGACCACTATGGCAGAACGACCGGTCACTATGATGCGCACTGGCCACCAGGGGGCAGACATTCAACGCAGGAGCTGCCCCCTGGTGGTCAGTGCGCTCCCACAGGGGGAGCGCCACTCAGAAGCCTGGCTCGTGGCTGGTGAGCGCAGGTGCACAGCAGGAGCCTCTCCTGTCTCGCAGAGCGGGCACAGTGGGTGTGATGAGCGCGAGCAGCACCTGGCCCCCATTCAGGCTCCTCCCCGGCACCTACCACTTGGCACACTGCTACGTCCCCCAGGTGGTCCCAGACTGCGAAAGGGCGCAGGCCGGGCTGAGGGACAACCCCCCTCGGGCATGAAGTTCAAGCATCGGGCCTCTCGTAGAAAATAACGTTCTTTCTCTTTTCTTCATAGGTCATATCATGAATATGTTAAACAAGGAGGGGTTAATACCAAATTAGGATAAAAGCACCAAAAATTACAATTAATGAGTCATATATTATTAATTTAATGCCTTTTATTCTATTTAATGACTTTATTCACAATAAATGTATCCAAGGAATGTGCCAGTGGTTTTCCCATTCTTGAATAAGTCCAATAATAATGTGATGATATGCATGTAATTTACATGATCTCTCTGTAAATAAAGAAATCCTGTTAACCTACATTTTAAATAATTAATGTTAAAAGGTTGAAATAAAAATGAAAAAGAAAGCTCTTCTCTTGGAAAAGAAAACCCCTTTGACACAGCTGTATCTAGGAAAGTGGTTTTCTCCTTTCATTCTTATTCACAGAAAAATATTTCTACACTCTTAAGAATGTTTAAATGTCAATTGTTTGGATCATAAAAATAAGGAGAGAAAAACAGTGTTCTAATCATAAATAACTCAAAAATTGTTTTTAGAAACTTAAAAATTCTAACAAAATCATCCTCAATTGAAATGGTAGATATTATTGGTTGGCTTTATGCCCCGGTGTTTCCAGTAGGGGTCACAGAGCTTTCCAGAATGGCCCTGAAGGAGCCAGGGAAGGTAGGGAGGTTTTCCCAGGTAGAGAATCGCATGTGGAAAAGTATGGGGGTCAAAAGCCACAGTACATGGCCAAGGGACCGGCAAAGTTTCCAGCATGGCCAAAACAGGGCTGTGAGCTAACGGAAACGAAACTGGAGAGAGAAGAAGGGATGAGATCGTGACGCTAGAGGCATATAACAAACATTTTAAGCAACAGATTTGCATTTCAGAAAGATCTCCCCGTTGGATATGGAGGGACAATACTAGAGGTAAGTGAGTCAGCCTCCATTCAATGGCCATAATCCATGTGACAAACACTGAGGTTCAAACTAAGAAAGTAGCATTGGAGAAAGAGGGATGGCCATTGGATCGAGAGTAGAATCAGAGTACCTGGTACCCACTGAAAATCGGACATGAGGAAGAGGATGGAAGCAGGACTGACTCTCAGGCCTAGAGATGGCATGTGGCAGTGCCTCATAATAACATAGAAAAAACTCTAAAAGAATAGGCCTGTGAGGGTAAGGAAATGACAACTTTTCTCTGGAGCACGCTGAGACTGACAGGTTCAGAATTAGATGTGAATATCTGGAATGTACCTTCTCCAATATCTCAAAAGAAGTAGTTTTATCGTTTGAAACCCCTTATCCAAGGTTGTTTTTTATTCTCTTAAACCAGGCGTCTTCAAACTGCGGCCCGCAGAGGAGTCTGATCCGGCCCGCCAGGTTTTTGGGCAGTGAGCGCAGCCAAGGTGTTACAGTAGGAATTAGTAGTTCATATAGTCCGGCCCTCCAGCTCTCTGAGGGACCGTGATCTGGCCCCCACTTTAAAAAGTTTGAGGACCCCTGTCTTAAACTCTACAGACAGCCCCCAACTTACAATGGTTAAACCTCACAGTGATGTGAAAGTATTGCACCTCCAGTAGGAACTATACTATGAGGTTTGAGTGCTGGTCTTTGTCCAGGCCGGCAATGTGCACCACCACACCCTCCTGTGCTGCCGGGCAGCCGCAGCGAGCCACAGCGCCCCGGCCAGGCCAGGAGGGTCAACAGCAGCACTCCAGTGTGCTGCGCTGCCCTGCTTTTGGACAGTCTGTGCTGAGCACGTTCGCGGTAGGCGAGCCCTGGCTGTGATGTTCATTATGTTAAATAGGTTAAATGAAGGTTCGACTTACAATGTTTCCAACTTAATATGGTTTTATCATCCCCCCATTGTAAGGGCATGAGCGTCTCCGTAGAAATGGGCTTTCACAGTGATAAAAGCAATGCTTTAGCTGCAATCTGGTGGTCAAAAGACACACTCTCTCTAAAATGACAAATCAGCCGAAACCGGTTTGGCTCAGTGGTAGAGCCTCAGTCTGCGGACTTAAAGGTCCCGGGTTCGATTCCGGTCAAGGGCATGTACCTTGGATGCGGGCACATCCCTGGTAGGGGATGTGCAAGAGGCAGCTGGTCAATGTTTCTCTCTCATCAACATTTCTAGGTCTCTATCTCTCTCCCTTCCTCTCTGTAAAAAATCAATAAAATATATATATATATTTTAAAAATAATTAAAAAATAAAATGACAAATCACTTATTTCTTCATATACAAGAAGTATAGTATAGAATGGGTTCCAGTTTGAATCTTCTTTCTTATAATAGCTTTATGGATTTGGGTACATCACTTAACTTCTCTATTTGCTTCGGCTTTCTTTTCTAAAGAATGGCTATAATAGCACCTCTCACATAGCAATTATATAATTAATATGCATACACACTTAAAACAGCACCTAGAACATATGTGGTGCAATTAGTTCTTATTTTGTTGCTGCGAATGACCCCTCTCCTGAGGATGACACATCCTTTCCCCAATCACGTTGTTGTTGTTCAATGTTTATGCTGTGCTTTACCCTTTATCAGTCACATGGATATTTCTTTTGTTCTTCACAATCCCCAATGTCAAATGACTTGCTTAAAATAAAATATCAATGGCAAATCTGGAATTCCAACTAACAGCCTCTAACTCTAGAGCTGTAATTTTCTCCAAATTGAGGGAAATAGTCAACTCTTAATTTTTCTAAAGTATATATCTATATGGTGACTCTTAATCTCCTCTCCTTATACATCTAGTAAAAAGAGAATAAAATATTTTGTTCCCGACAAACTTCCAATTAGTTGTTGCTACAAATAGCAAAATTGACTACGTTATATTTGGCCATTCTCTTCTAACTAGATGTATAAGAAGAGGAGATCAAGCGTCACCATATACATATACGGTGGGACCACTGATAATGGGGTTAACTGTAAATTAAATAACACTGAGATATTCTTCCAGACCCCATTCAGAGTGCCTGTCGTGATTTTACAGGATGAAGGATTCTTAAAGCTGTGTTTTCTCCCCCGTTTTCATCTAAAATTTCCATTTCTCCTCTCCCATCCGTTTTCCTCCTATCACACTGAATAAGTCTTCCTTCGGAGTGTCTGGCCCCTCAAATATTTGTCGACCGGGGCAGAAGAAAAGGCTGCCTGTTCCTCGGAGAGCGGAGAGGTGATTAAACAGCAGTCCATGCATGTGAAAGTTGGCCCGGCGCTGCCAGGCGGGCCCGGCCCGGAGAAATGTGTTGGGCAAGAGCTGGGGTGACAAGGTAACACCACCGCGGAGAGCAGCGGTGACTGAGGAGTGATTATAAGGCCCTTGGCATGGCCCGCCACGGGTGCTGTATAAATAGCTGTTAAATATCATACCGTACATTTTCTTAACTGCCTGAGCACTCCACCTCTGATAAACCATTTGTAACCCACAAACAGCCATCAGACGCATTCTCTTTTCCTGCTGCTCCCACAGGAACGGGCTCTGGGGCGAGGCCCCGGTGGATTTGTAGAAAATGAAACAGGACGAAGCTTCTATGTTCAGAAGAAGGTCTGCTTCCCCAGTTCGGTTCCGCTGTGAGGCTTGTTTTCCAGAGCTAAACTGACCAAAGCTCTAGGGCCGTGGTTGGCAAACTGCGGCTCGAGAGCCACATGCGGCTCTTTGGGCCCTTGAGTCTAATAAATACCACGGCCTGGGCGAGTCTGTTTTGAAGAAGTGGTGTTAGAAGAAGTTTAAGTTTAAAAAATGTGGCTCTCAAGAGAAATGTCAATCGTTGTCCTGTTGATATTTGGCTCTGTGGACTAGTGAGTTTGCCGACCACTGCAGGGCGAACCTGCAGTGACCAACACACCATTTCAAAAAACAAATGAATACACATCAAAAATACCGATTTTCTGTAACAATGGTAATCACGGTAAAACAGCTACAGCAGCAGCAGCAATGTGTCAAGAGCCATGAACCAGGAGGTACATCTGCTGTGAAATTTCATTTTCACTTGCCTGTCGGAGGTAGACGGCACTGTCCCTCTGGTACAGGTCAAAAAACTGAATCAGAGAGGTTCTATAATCTCCTTCTGATAACAGCGGGCATGAAGCAGAATTAAGATTCAATAACTGGTCTGTCCACATCCTTGACTCACCAGACAATACTGTATTAACTAACCGACTGAATGACAAACTTGAACTGGTAAAATTCTCAGGTAAAGTATGTCGCCATAACCATAGAGTAAATGTAAAATGTGGAACACGAATACATGTAATGTGAATTTATGATGGTATGGTATTTGTTATAAATATATGTTTTGCCCTCGGGATTTCAAAAGCAACAAAGCAGTTTGAAGCAATGACCCGTTTCAGTAAGACTTTGCTTTGTAAAATGTTCTAAACTTGTTTGCGGAGTCGTGCTGTACGGACAATGAGGAAACAGATCTATGTGAAGGGTAGGATTTGAGAAATCCTCTTGGCATTGAAGGAATGTAAAAGGTAGTCCCGTTTTTACTCAGGAAGACCTTATTTTTATAGTCAGCTGGGTTCTAGTCAGAAGACATAAGGACTCTGTTTATACCTGCAGGAAGGGGGGGGTGCAGCGGGAAAGAGGGGGAAGCCCAGCTTAGTGAACTATCACATCCCCCTGAACCGAGGAGTATATTTGCATCGTAAATTAAACTGGCCGCATGTGGTAGCTAGCTCCTAAGTAATTCCAGGTGCCTGACAGCTTGACCCAGGACAGGGAATGTAATTTCCAGCAAACTGGCCTTGGAAGCCAAGGGGACCCTTCAGGCTAGAACCCACCCCTCCATGCCCCATTCCCACGTCCCCTTCAGCTCCCTCCTGCCACAGCAGAATGAGTCACACTGAAGGTGAAGGCAGGGGGAAGGGAGATCTTTACTGAAATATGGTTGCAACTGCCCCTACCCCTCCTCATTTTTCTAGCAAGAACTGTGTCCACAAAGCAGATATGGTGGCCTTTTAAGGTAGCTAGAAATCAGGCCCATGGACTGACGAACTGTTTCCATGCATGCCCTACTTATTCGAGAGCCCAGTGAGGCGACTGTCCTGTGCTTGGCCCACAGTGATCGGGAACTCGGGGACACTAATGGAAACGGCTTCCCATCAATGTCGGCGTTGGCCTTGAGAGCCATTAACCTGGCCAAACGTCTCTCCTTTGAGGGCCATCTCTGAGAGGCTTCAGAGCAAGGCTTCTCCTTTAAGGGGGAGGACTGCATTTCACAGGAACCCTGGGCACCTCACTCCCAGCCCCTGGCCTGAGAGGAGCGTCAGCATTTAACAAATTCTAAGTACCTGGCAGCCCAGGGCAGCAGCTCACCCAGCTCTTCCAGAGTCTGTACAGCCTGTGACAGTACTAATGCAAAGGCTCAAGAGTGCGCTTTTAGCCACAAGTTTAACTACAAATTCATTTCTTTCTGATTATGGTATACAAGCAGTTCCCGGTTCTTGATCAAAATCAAGAAGAGTGATGCACTAAGTGAAGTGACCATCAAAAGCTCTTGAAATCTTTCTGTTCAGTTTTGGTTTTGTGGCTCCTCATACACTGTCCCCCTCCCCAATCACTTTATATAAAACAGGTAATGTGCACAAAGAGCAATTTTTTTTCTTCAAATCTGTTATCTGACACCCAGGAACTATTACCTAGAAACGAGCAGAGGACATGAGCTTGGGCTGAGCACGTTGAGAGGCAGAAGAAAGACGTTATGCCCAAGAAAAGAACAGAAAGGAGGCAATCAAGTCTTCACATCCAAGCACAGAGCTGATCTGGGAAGGATATGAAAGAAGACCAATCATAAAAGATTGGGTTTATTTCTTTAAAGGCTACAAAGGGTGGCATTGAAGTTTGGGTTAACTGGCAGGAGTGGTACTGAGTTAGCGTTAAATGGACCATAAGGAACGAGGTTTAGCTGAGGTTTTAAGAGTTATGACTGTCACACTGAGACCAAACACTAGTGAGAAAACAACTTGTGGTTGATTCTATTAAAGGCAGAACAGCACTAAAGCTTTATGGTAGGGAAGGATTGAAATGCATGTGTGGTTGAGGTACACACAGAGAAAGAGCATGAAATAAGGTACTAAAGACAAATGATTCGCAGAGCATAAGAGTGGGATAAGAGGCGAGATTAAAAATAACATTACATGAGTGTGTGATGATAACACGCCTTAAATATAACTCCTTCCACCCCTATGTCATTTACAAAGTGACTTGGAATGTGAAAAGCGCCCAGCAGTGTCCCTGGGCCAGCTCGGTGGAGGGAGCAGGTCACAGGAGCTAGTCAGCAGTGCAGGGCCATGTCTCACAGCTGTTTCCGTCTGGAACGGAAGGACACTTTACCTCATTGAAAGGCGAGGGAAATTTAAGGTGAAGGTAATTGCTCCAATTGGGTTTTGAGCAAACACAACATACCGCTAAGGTCTGTGGGACAGAGTAAGGTTGCTGACACTATCCAGGCATTGTTAACGATCAGAAGACAACGGTGCTTCAGTTTTCTGTTTTCACCAGACAATGCTGACAAGCATCTCTAAATTACAGATTGAGAAGACGATGGTTGAGAAAGCAAGAGAAGGGGGCAGGAAAGCTCAGGGATTGTAAACAAATAAAAAATTTGCAAAAAGCATCGCTGTGCAAGACCTGGTTCCTTCCACGTGCTTAGAGTGCAAGGTGAAGGGTCCGCGGTGAGTAGAAGTGAGATGGGAGTGGAGTGACCAGGGTGCTTTGGAGGAACACATCATCGCAGTGTTTCCCAAACTTCTCTCATGATGAGAATCACCTGGTGGAGTTGTTAAACTACAGATTCCCGAATCCCAATTAAGAAGTGCTATATGTTCCCAAAAATTCTAGGTTAGCACTTCTTAGTTGGGATTCGGGAATCTGTAGTTTAACAACTCCGCCAGGTGAGAAGTTTGGGAAGCACTGATCCATTGGAAGGCAGCGCCTCAGATGGGAAGGGTGACGAGGGGAGAGAGAAGGAGATGAAGAGAAGGAATCGGCATAGGAAAGACAGGGTCAGAGTCACAGGACCCCAAGCAGCCGGCGGGGAGGCGGGGGCAGAGGCAGAGGCTCGCCGCCCGGACTCACCCGCGCCGTCGGCGGTGACGATGGCCTCGGGGGAGATGCACACGCCGCGGTCATACACCGGCAGCTCCTCGCAGGCCAGGCTCTCGGGCCACGCGTGGCGGTACTTGACGAGGATGGGCTCGCAGCCCTGCCGGGCGCGCTCGCACACGGACTTGCAGGGCTTGATGGGCTCGTGCTGGAAGTCGATGGTGCAGATGGGCGCGTACATGGCGCAGAGGAAGAAGAGCAGGTCGGGGCTGCAGTGCGTGCCCAGCAGGCCCTCGAACTGCTCGATGGCCAGGATGGCGTTGGCCTGGGTGCTGTGGTGCAGGTGGTTGGGCATCTTCGTCATGTTCCAGGGCAGGGACTTGCACAGCGGGATGCGGACGGGCTCGCAGGCGGCCGCGCGGGCCCCGGGCGCGCGGAGCAGGCAGAGCGCCGCCAGGGCGAGCAGCCCGGCCCCCGGCAGCCCCGGCCGCCTCCCTCCCGGGCGGCCGCCGACCATGATCCCGGCGGGACGGGGCGCCGGGCAGCTGCGCCGAGCACGCCGAGCGAGAGGCCGGCTCCGCCGTCTCCCCCTCCTCCTCCTCTTCCTTCCCCTCCTCCCCCCCTGGAACTGGACACGGCGATCTGGGCGCTTCTCCTCCCCCGGCGATCCCCCAGCTTCCGAGGATCAAATTCCCCCAATGGGGTCCCACGAGCTCCGCCGAGCGCCCGCCGCCCCGGCTGCCCTGCCCGGCGTCTGAGCCCCGCGGGGCGGGCGGCGGCACCTATTTATTCCCCGTCCCCCCTGGCGACACGTCAGGCTCCGCGGATGACCCCGAGGAGAGGGGGACGAGGGAGGCGCGGGAGGAATGGAAACAGCAGCAGTGGGTGCTCGGGGAGCGGCGTCCCCTGGTTACAGGAAGGTGCTACCAGAAGCTGAAAGTCTCCAAAGGGGGAGGGGGTGGAGGCTGAGCAAGGAAGGAAACCCAAAGAGAAAAGTCCCCAAGGGGGCGGGGCGGGACGCAGTCAGAGTTTGCAAGCTTTGCAAGCTGAGCCGAAAGATGCACTTTTTGCCGGGAGCTGCCGCGGCTGCAGCGGGGCCGGCCGGCCGGGGGGAGCCCCGACGGGAGGTCTGCGCCCGGGTCCCGCGGTCCCGCTCTCCCACCTCCGGGCCGGGGGGCAGCCCCGCCCCGCCCCGGTGCAGACCCAGCCCTCCGAGGAGCGGAGGAAGGAGCGGGAGGAAGAAGGGCCGTGGGCTGGGAGCGGAGGGGAGGGGGAGCCCGGAGCAGCTCGGGCTCGAGACCTGCACGCCCACCCCACCCCACCCCACCCCACCCCCACCCCGCGGAGCCCCGGGCTGGCTCCGGAGAAAGAGCCTCCAGCCCTGACCGAGCAGCCGCCCGGGTTCCCAGCGGAGGCGTCTGTCTCCCCCGGTCCTCCCTCTGGAATCCTCCCTCTGAAACCCACCCAGCCCCGGTCTCCCCGGCCACGGGAGCTGCAGCTCTGCCTGGGGGGCCTGGGGGAGCCCCCCGGTTCTGCAGAGCCGGACAGGAAGGGGGAGGGCTGGAGCAAGGTCACTTGAAAGGTCCAAGTTGCAGAAAACAGGGACCCGGGTGGCAACGGTGGAGCCTTAGCCAGAGCTCCTGGCTGCAGCGGTCTGCACTTTAGGTAATTAGGTGGAAGGAAATTAGAGAGAGGGGGGGGGAGGGAGGGAAGAGAGAGAGAGAGAGAGAGAGAGAGAGAGAGAGAGAGAGAGAGAAAGAGAGAAAGAAAGAAAGAAAGGGAGAGACGAAGAAGAAATGCTGGAAACAATTGCAAATAGGCCTCCAGAAGCAAATAAAATAAAATAAATAAAATAAAATAATAAATAAAATAATAAAATACCTTTCATTTTTCTTCCTTTGCCCTGCAGACAAAACCTTTGAGTTTTGTCGTGTGTTTTGTTTGTTTTTTATCTTAAGAAGGAAAACTAATTGCTTTGAAGCACTTGCACATAAAATGGCACTTAATATTTAACTCTCCTCACCAAGCATTTCACCTAACAGTTGAGGGAAATTACACCACAAATAATGATGATGATGATGATGACAACAATAAAATCCTTCCCATCCAAATGAGCTCAGTCCGGAGGAGAAAATGGAAAACAGATCCCGTCCGGACCCGCTCCGCCGCTAATGAGCCACCTCCCCCACCGCCGGCGGGCGCGTTGTAAACGGAGTGACCCGCCGAGGCCCCGCTCCCGGCCCTTTCAATGGGAAATCTCGGAGCCAAAGGATCGCAGGCTGTGAGAAAACACAGCCCTCATGAAGAGGCGAAGGAAACAAAGCCTAAAACAAAACAGGAAGTCACCTTTGCTCTCCATCATTGAGATATTTCACTGCTTAAATCCATCCGACAACAAGCAGGAAAAGGATGCCCCCACTTCAGAGCGCACAGTGAGATGAAGGTGGCCATTCTCCAGCCCTGACTGGACAGCACTTAGGAAGCCTCGCTGCTAACTTGAGATGATGAGATTTTATCTCTAAAATGACCATCATCGGCAATTTGTGCCTGAAGTAAAATTTTTCAGAAGGAAGTTTGTTCCACACAGGGGGATCAAAACAAAACAAAACAAAACAGATGGTAGGTAGGGAGTCAGAATACAAACTTTGCCTGGTCTACAATACATTGTCATTTAAAAACAAATAAGTAAGTAAAAAAATTATTTAGCAAGTAAAATCGAGGTGGGAAAACTTTAAAACAGTCCATATTTGAGCATTTGGGGCCTGTTTCCTATTAAGGAAATGTAGGTGGGATTTTCAATAAATTAGAAGGAAGAAGCGAGGGATAGATATAATGGATTCTTTGCTAAAACATTTTCCTGCCATCTTAAATCTTAACAGTGTAAGAAGAAATGTAGATAGTTGGAGAGCCGTTGTCTTAATGGTTCTCCAACTTACCTACAACAAAGTTTGTTTTTCTTCCCCTTTACAGAAGGCAGTTATCCCCTTTGCCTACCATATTCCCTCACAACTGTCCTCTAACCCAAAACTGTCTTTATTAAAACTCAAAATAAGTCTCAGTGCCTCCCAGAGGTCTTTTTGGCCATTTCTCTAGCTAGTGTCCCTTGAATGTTGTTCATTTTTGCAAACTATTCTTTAGCACATGGCAGTTTATTGCTTCAGAAAAAAAAAATTTTTCATTACTCAACTGGGTGCCTTCCTTGAGAGCTTGTATGACATCTGAAAGAAGAGAATTGGCCTTCTATTTCTTTTGAAATAGGCATTTGAGAAATGTTGGCTGGTGGCATTTAAAATGCGATACAAGTATTAAGTATACATGTCTTAGAGATATAAAATCTAATTGAGTAAATAGTGATAGTTAAGTTTAAAAAATAACCTGTATGGTCCTGGCTGGTGTGGCTCAGTGGTCAGAGTGTCAGCCTGTGCACTGGAGGGTCTCAGGTTCGATTAGTCAAGGGCAGTTACCTGGGTTGCAGGTTTGAACTCCTCCCTGATCTGGGTGAGTGCGGGAAGCAACCAATCGAAGTCTCTCACATTGATTCATCTCCCTTTCCCTTCTGCTCTCTCTAAAAATCAATGAAAAAAATAACTCCTTGGGTGAGGATTTTTTTTTAAAGCTGTATGATCAGGAAGGAAACACAAATTAGACTTGTCAAAATGAATGCCTTCGAACAAGCCCACAGCTAGAGAAAACTAAGGGAAGGGTGAAGCCTGGTGCTCCGAGGGAATTTGTTTCTCTGGGGTTCCAGGTTATACGGTTCGGTTTCGCTGACAGAACACTGATCTTGCACATGGGCTAAATGAAAGATAGCTGATTGCTTTCGTATTACCCCATAGCCGGTGAAGAAATTGCAGACTACACAATCGGCAGACAACACACAAAGGGCTTGGAGGATTGGCGTTTTTAAATGAGAATCGGATGGGCATAGCAATAGTGATCATTTAGAACTCATTTTTTTTAGAACTAAGAATGAGAAATCAATGAGTGTTATGCAGTGAATTTTATATTTGAGGAAGTTGTCAAGGTGGCAAATGCAAATTATTAGTATAACAACATCCCACTGACACAATGTTTTATGGAGACTGGATTCCAGGGCCTCAGGCGGCTGTCCCAGGCACACACAGAAGGCCTCTTTCCAGAACACTCAGTGTAGGAGAAGACTATGGCACAGCACCCGCTGAGCAGCTACGTGGGGCCACGGGTCAATTCCAAGCTCCACAGCCACTTAGGAAACGTGTGATGTGCGACTCAGTCATCGCCAACCAGTCTTCTTAGAATGTATCATGGCACCACGGTCAGTGGCAGTTGATTTACCTTCCTAACAAAAGGTCCTGTAGCTAACTCAGGATCAGTCAGGACTGTGGCCCATGCCATTCTGTACCAACTGAGGATCAGCCATCGGTGCCCAGGAAGCGAGGGAACTGGTGTTTATCGAGTAGCTTCTATATGCAAGCCACAAAAACTACACTGTGCTTTGCCGAAGGTATTAGTTCCAAAGATGAAGAAACTACCGGTAAGTGGAATGGAAAGCCCAGAGGGATGAACTCCTTCCCCAGAGCTCTCACAGCTAGCTGTAGGCCCGTCAGAAGCGGGACTTGAATCCCGCTCTTTTCACAGTTCTGACAAGCAATGCTTCCTGGGCAGAAAGGAGCTGGGAACGGAGAGAACCTGGCTTCCTGTGAGTGTTGGTCTCAGCTTGAGCCCCAACCACACGGGTGGTCAGGGACTGGTCTGCCTGCCCAGGAACAGATGCAAAGCCTTGCCCTGCTTCATGGCCTTCGCCAAGGCTCTCCTGTGGACCGAGCAATTCTCACACCCACTTTAAGAAAACCTTCTCTTGCTAGTCTCCAGGCAACCCAACAAAAGCTTCCCACCTGTTAGCTACGTCCGCATCAGGACAGTGACTCTCCCAACTGTGGGTGCGACAGGACCGCATGCAGGGCTTCTGAAGACACAGGTGCCGGCCCCGTCCGGTTTCTGGGACAGTGGGGCTGGGGTGGGGCCTGGGAAGCTACTTTTCTAACAAGTTCCCACGTGATGTGGGTACAGCTGTTCAGGGACATTGACATTCACCCTTTCCAAGTAGGTATTAAGCCCTGAATTACCCTTAGTAAACTCTGAATGTTCTGTAACGATTTCATGATTTTATATCCTGTTTATCTCTTTCTACAAAGAATTTAGAAACAAAATTGTAATAAAGCAGCCTAATAGCTAAAGGACACTCTGAATGGGGTGAGAGGGGAGAGAGGGAGGGTAGATGTGTCTCTTAGTTACTCAGAGGCCATCCTCAGAGCCCCAGGGAGACTTGACAATGAAACCAGCTGTCTCCCTGGCCCCAATGAAAATAGCAATGCTCCAATCTCATTGCAACAAAGGTACAATAGATCTAGCATCAAAGGAGTTCCAGAAAGAAGCATAATATCTTAGCAGTCTAGCCCACCCACCTGTTCCCTGTCCCTAACCTACCACCCTCCATATTTTAATTTTAAAAGAAAACTCAGAGATAAAATTACTTATGCAAAGTCATGAGTCAATTAATGGCCGTCAACTGTGCCCAGTTCAATGTCTGTTTATACCATCCTTCTTCTCTGTTGGAAGTGTGTAATTTTCTTATATTTTGAAACACCAAAAGCCTATATATCGGGCCTAGTAATAATTAATGTCGTTTTTAAACATTCGTTTAAAATCTTGCTTCGCGTTGACTTGTATTGACATAACCTTCAAACACGTGGTATCTACAGAACGTGTGAAGTGCAATTAACAAGTTTTGCTTGAAAAAGTTTGTGTTTGGTTTGGTTTTTGTTGCCAAACTAGGGCTAAGAAGATGGCGGATGAAGAGCATATTCGGCACTGCATGCTTTACGAGTTCCAATTAGGAAGAAAAGCAAGTGAGGCTGCAAAAAACATCTGTAGTGCTCTTGGTCAACATGCAGTTAGCGCCAGAAAATGCCAGCGTTGGTTTGAGAAATTTCGCGAGGGAAATTTTTCGTTAGATGACAAGAGTGGTCGAGGCCGTGTGTCCAATTTTGATCAAGAAGCTCTTCAAGCTCTTTTGGTGCAAAATCCTCAAATTACCCACCAAGAGCTTGTGACAACTTTAAATAGTTCACAAAAAACAATTTCCAATCA